AGGCTTCGGCCTAACCTAATCCCAGGGCCCCAGCCCTAGAGGGACAACAGCTACCCAGGGCTGGGAGCCACCAAAGGTTCTGGAAAGAGGCAGACAGCAAACAGGGCTTTTTGCCTCGGCACAGACATATCCCCACCTCCCTCTGTGCTGGGCACCCACCAGCCACCCCCTGACTGTGACAGAGGGCGGGATAAAAGCAGAGTGTTGCTCACAGCCAGACTCGTCGCTGCCGTCTGTGCAGTCACTCTCTCCATCGCAGCGCCAGACATCAGGAATGCACCTGTGGTCGTGGGAGCAGCCGCACTGCCCTTCCCCACACAGCCCTTCCTCCCAGGGACAGCCCTGCAAGAGCAGAGCGTGAGGAGAGCCACCAGCCGTCCCCAGGCTGTGTCCCCACTACCCCACACCCACCTGCTCGTCTGTGCTGTCGCCGCAGTCGGCAGCACCATCGCAGCGCCAGGCCTCCGGCACACACTCCCCACTGCGGGGACACGCCACCTCCCCCGTGCGGCAGAGCAGTGGTGGGGGCATGGCGCAGCCCTCCTCATCTGAGCCGTCCTGGCAGTCATGGTCACCGTCACAGCGCAGGGCCAGAGCCACACACTGTCCGCTCCGGCAAGAGAACTCATCAGGGTTGCATTCCTTTGGCACTGCAGACAGGGCTGGGGCTGAGTGGGTGCACTATGCCTGTCCCCATCCCACCAGTGCAGGCATAGGACTGAGCAGGGTGCAGCCCCTTCAGCCACTCAGCAGGTTGCCCCAGGCAAGTATCAGCTCCTGGACCCACAAGAAACCCGGTGCACCCACCTGTGGGGCAAGCAACCCTCAAAAGCCTCTGTCCCACCCAGCCCCAGGGTCTCACCACAGCCCTGTTCATCGGTGTGGTCCAAGCAGTCGGCGTGGCCATCACACAGCCAGCTCTCAGGGATGCAGCGTGTGGCAGTGTCGCAGCGCAGGGCGCACTCCCGTGTGGGGGTCCAGCAACCCGCCTCATCTGAGGCGTCGGGGCACTGTGGCACGCCATCGCAGCGCTCCCCAGCCCCAATGCACACAGCTCCGCTCGCACAGTAGAAGGCCCCTGGGGAGAAAAGAGGTCTTGCTAAACCTGCAGTAGGCAGCCAGGGTTTTCAGACCCTCTGCTGACCCCAAAGTGATCTAGAATGGACCTACACTACAGCAACAGGGCTTGGTCCCTCCTAGTCAGTGCATCTGCAACTGCCTAGATCCTAAGCAAGGTGATACAGGCAGTCTCAGTTCAGCCACATCTGAGTCACTGTGAGCAGCAGGGCCAGCCCTGCACGTTTCTGGCAGCACCTCCAGCCCAGTGCTAAAACACTCAGAAAAAACCAGTATGCCACATCACAAGCATGAGACACACTCAGACCTTCCCAGGGGCCCATTCCACCAACTCAGCAACAAGCAGCCAGAAGCCCTAGCACAGGGTGGCCCAGCTGTGCAGGGGACTGAAGAACCACTCCTACCTGGGGTATCACAGAGCTGGGCACACCCATCTTCATCAGAGCCATCTGCACAGTCCTTCTCCCCATCACACATGTACTCCTGGGCCACACACTCGGTGCCGTCACGGCAGGGCACATGTGTGCGAGGACAGGACAGATGGGGGACAGGGGTCCGAGGGTGTGCAGAGCTGGTTGTCACGGGTGGGGTAGGCGGCACTACCCGTGCAAGGCTGGTTGGGTGCTGAGTGGTGGTAGTTGGCTGTGTAGCAGTGGTCTTGGTTGTCAATGGACGACTAGTGGTTGTGGTGGTTCTGGTAGTTGCTGGCCGCACGGTGGTGGTCGTGGTTGGTGTGGTCCGGGCAGTGATGGTTGCAGGGGTGGTCTTGGTTGATGTGGGCTGGCTGGTGGTAGTGGTGGTTGGCATTGTGGTAGCCTTATTGATTGTTGCAGGAGTAGTGGTGAGCACAGTGGTGGTCTTGCTTGGCGTAGGCCTCGTGGTGGAGGTGGTGGGCTGAGCAGCAGTGGTGCTTGTGGTTGTCCTTGTAGTGGTGGTCACAGGCGGAGGGAGTGGCAGGGCAGACCCCTTGCTTGGTGGCACTGGCAGAGGCATGGACACAGGAACATGAGCCTGGATCTGAGACTGTGCCTCCCCCCCA